CCTGCCCCAGAGGTGACCACATGGCGTGGCAGACCTCTCCTGACCTGCCCACTGCTCCCCTCAGCAGTGTACTTTGTAGATCTGCCTGTTCTGCTCCCCACTCTGTCTCTGGTGAAGCCTCTCGCTGCCCCTGAGTCTCCGGCCTGTACCCCAGTTCTGTATGTACAAATAAAATAAATCTTTAAAAAAAAAAGTAACTATAGATAAATATCAAATTAGTATTACTGTATATTTGGTTTGTAACTCCTTTTTTTCCTCTGTATGGTTTAAAACAAAATATAAAACAATAACCATAGGTTGTTAATGCTCACACAATGCTTAAAGCTGTATTTTGTATCAACCAAAATATAAAAGGGGAAAGTTGGAGTTGTATAGAAACAAAATTGTTACATGCTACTAAAGTTGTAAAGGAAACTAAAATTTACATGAAACTAAAGTTGTAAAGGAAAACTGTTATAAGTTTAAGAAGTCTATTGTAATCCTGCAGATAACCACCAAAAAATAAGAAAAAGAAGTGAGAAAGGAATAAAAATAATACAAGAAAATAAACATGAGAAATCCACACACTATTTAAGATATAAGGTAGAAAGTAATTGAGGACCCCAAAAAAAGGACATGTATAAAACAAAGAACAAAATGGCAAAAATATATTCTTAATAAGGAGAGGAATTCAGAACTCCAATGAAAAGAGAGTAGATTATATAAAAAACTAAAAATACATGCTGTCTATAAGAGACTTTCAGTACAAACTTGTATAAATTGAAAGATTAAAAAAGATGATCCATGCAAGTAGAAACAAAAAAGAGAGTTGGAGCTATATTCTAGTTCAGATATATAGATATTAAAGCAGAAACTGTTAGAAGAGACAGATATTTTGACGTTGACCAAGGGTCAGCTCATGAAGAAGATGATTTTCCTGAAGCACTTACGGAGCATTCTATAGGATAGACCATAAAACAAGTATCAACAAATTAAAATTTATTGGAATTATTCAAAATATCTTTCTGACACAGTGTAATGAAACTAGAAATAAGTAATACAAAAACTGGAAAAATTCCTAAAAATTTTCAAATGTGTGGAAGCTCAACAACTTAAAACAACCACTAGTGAAGAGAAGAAATCACCAGAATATAGAATATACGAATTATACATACACGTATGTATCTGCAGTTAAATATACAATGCAATTAAAATATAAAACACAGCAGAATACTACTAAGCTCAAAAGGAAATGTATACCTGTGAGTGCCTACATGCAAAAAAAAGAAAGGCCCGAAGGGGAAAAAAAAAATCTTAACTGTGTGACTTAAGAAACAAGAAAAAGAAGAGCTAAACTAAACCCAGTGCTAGCTGAAGCATGGAAATAAGAAAATATTTGAGTGATATAAACAAAATAGAGTACAGGAACAATAGAGGAAAGTCAGCAAAATCAAAATTTCATTAAGTGATAAGATCAACAAAATTAACAAACCTTTGACTAACTTGATGAAGATAGAGAAGACACAAATCACTGATACCAGAAATAAAAGTTGGGATGCTACCATAAACAATTATAAACCAATAAATTAGGTGACCTAGGTGAAGTGGATACTGGAAACATACCACCCCCATGCTGATTCAAGAAGAAATAGCAAACAGACCTAGCGATTGCTAGGAAATAAGGAAAGCGATTGAATCACTAATCAAACTCCTATCAAAGGAAAAAAAAATAAGGGATAAAGCAAATGTTGGTTAGGATGAGGAGAAATTAGAACCCTGAACATTGCTAGTGGGATTGTGGAATCATGAAGCCAGTATAGAAAACATTTGACAGTTCTTCAAAAATTAGCCATAGAATTATCAGAGATAGCAATTGTACTTCAGGTGTGTAAGATAACTGAAAACAGAACTCAAAAAGATACTTGAACAGCAGTGTTCAAAGAAGCATTATCATCAACAGTCAAAAGAAAAAAACACCCAACTCCATCAAATGAATGGATAAAATATCGTATATATGTAGAATGTACTACTTCTCAGCCTTAATCATGGATGAAATTCTGATACAGGCTGCAATGTGGATGAACCTTGAAAAAACACTGTGTGCACTAAACCAGGTGCCATAATGAAATATTGCATGGTTCCACTTGGAGGAAGTACCTAGGACAGGCAAATGCATATAGAAAATACAGAACTCACTATAACAAAGCTGG